TTTCTCCCGCATCCCTCCATCACTCGCACAAGCAGGCAAAGGCGGGTGTGCGCCCCACACGCCAACTACCCAGGCAAACCCGGGGATGTAGGATAATATGGCATATGGCCTCGGTGCCTAATAGCCTGATCAGTGACTGTGTATTCATTGTCTTATGAAAACCAACAGCCTGTTCCTAGGCAACCCGATCAGCGAAAATTTCAGGTTTATGCAATTTTCATTTAGGTAACATAAAGGTTAACTGACTGTAATGGGAGTACAGGAACAAGGCTGCTTATCGTGGAGGACTAGGAGGGTCGGCTCCAAACAGGGTCATGTCTCCTGCATCACCTCCATCACTCGCACAAGCAGGCAAAGGCGGGTGTGCGCCCCACACGCAAGCGTGCAACTACCCAGGCTAACCCGGGGATGTAGGATAATATGGCTAAACGTCTCGGTGCCTAATAGCCTGATCAGTGACTGTGTATTCATTGTCTTATGAAAACCAACAGCCTGTTCCTAGGCAACCCGATCAGCGAAAATTTCAGGTTTATGCAATTTTCATTTAGGTAACATAAAGGTTAACTGACTGTAATGGGAGTATTTTAAACAAAACCACCTACTCCTCCCCTTTCTGCTGCAAACCTCCACAGACCGTATTTACTTTGCTTGCTTGCGACGCTTCCCGCTGCCCCAACCCAGTGAAGTTTGGAGCAAAATTCTTCTGGAGTTCATCTTTTGCTATTTTTCTGCCAAGAAGTGTTTGGGTCCTTGCAGGAGGCAGCAGGAGAAGGGCAGAGAGGGACCGGGGACAGCTGGAGCGGGGAGGCGTGTGTGCACAGCCCAGACACCGCTGCGCAAGGGCAACAGGGAAAACAGGCGAGCAGGAGCAAGAGAGCTGTTGAAGAGACCCACTCTCCGGACATCCCAAAACTCAGGCACAGCCACAACAGGGCCAGCGATTCCCTCCGTCTCCTCTTCAGTGCTGCTGGGGCACAGCAAGTCCTCTGGGAGAGAAGCACCCCAGTGAGAGCTGCGACGAGGATCAACCTCCACACCCCTGTCCCCCGCACACCCACGCACACCATGCACACACACAGACTCCCGCAGGCACGTGACGGTGCAGACACACTACTGAGAGCACAATGGAGAGCCCAGTGGTGCCCCGTAGGGTTCCTGGGCCCTGATATTAAGACAAAAAGAGAAGGAAAAGGAAACACGAAACTTCCCATCATTGAATTCGTCAAGCAGCCACTCGCACACTGAGGTGCTGCTGTCGGAGCGGGGCTGGGGGTGAGGACAGCACAGGGTATGTGTGCCCGGCACCCAGCCCCATCACTGCCCTGCGGGGACAAAGCCTTCAGAGCTTCCCAGGGAGGCTTAAGCCTGAGCCTTGATGGTGGGTTTCAGCCTAATTGGGCTGTGTGCTCCCCTGAAACCTCGGTGCCCCCAGAAAGCCCCACAGCCCAAAGCCAGCAGCCTGCCGCTACCTCCCCTCTCCATCAACCGCCCCCGAGAGCCCAGGGACACAGCGAGCTCCAAACACCGAGCACCAGCACCAGCCTCCCTCCCCAACGCCCTGCACACCAGCACAGCAGCTCAGCAATATCATCTCAAACTGTCCTTTGCTTATTTTTAATCAGAGGGGCATTTAACAGGAGTATGCCAATCTAATTTCTCCAGCCAAATGACTGGGAGTGAGCACCAGAAGTGTGTCATTTCATTTCGCAACCACATTTTTTGGGTTCACCACCACTCCAAATGTCACGGCAGCATTGGTTACACCTCGCAGCTGCTTGCGCTGCAAACAGTCAGGATGATAAAAACAATCTAGCCTGGCTCGAGGGACAATTAACAGGAAAATGAAGTTTGGATTAGCACCGTTAGAAACAATAACCCAGTAATTAGCTTTTGCAACCACAAAACAGCCTACCGCTGCTCTCTGAAAGACTAGCGTAATTTATGATTTTCACAGCACACGAGGATATAAAGGGAATGGCAGCGAGCTGCAAAGAAGTTTTAACTGGGATTTAAAGGGGAAGAAAAAGTCACCAGTAAGAAAGAAAAATAATTCCTAAGCTTTTGTAAACAAATACACCCCATATCGAAGGCAAAAATATTCTCCGTTATCCAGCAGAGACTCTTTCCCCCTGGGAGGGATGACATGCAAGATATGGGACCAGGAGCCCCGGCCCTGCTCTGCCATCCCTTGGGAAGGGGCTGCGTGATCCCGGCCCGGCAGCACGCCTCGGGTGGATTTTTACACTCCCCATTCAGCAACGTCAGGCCTTGAGGTGCTCTGCAGAAGCTGCCCACACACCATCCCATTGGCAAATGGGGAAAATGCAGCAACAGGAGGTGTTGCTGCTTGTTAGCGGACCAGCGGTGGGCTTGGACGGTGCCTCGTCACCAGCAGAGGCAGCAAAAGGGGAAAAAAGGGGGCCAGGCTGCTTTTCCGCAAAAAGCCAGCCCGCTTGGCTGGCATGGGGAACAGGATGGAGATGGCCATAACCATCCCGCAGCCACGGTTACCCTGAGGGTAAAACTCTGGAGGCAGCAGGGATGTCACACGCGTGCTGGCAACGCGGGACGTGCAACGGGGCTTCTCCAAGAGGGAATGGATCTGGATTTATGAGTCAGTGCTCAGCTCTGCACCGCATCACCCCCAAGAGCCTGCCCGATGCGGGTACTTTGTACATAAATCTGGATCTTGTACAAAGTTTCAGTTCAGCATTTCTGTACATCTTAATAATTTCCAGATTTTTTCCACGTCCCCTGTATGAGGGATGTGCTTCACTTTCAGCAGCCTAACAAAGAAAGTTTTAACTCTAAGGCTAAAAAAAAAACCAGCAGGGAAACTAAAATTCACTATTTTTGTTTAGTCTAGTTTGGAGAATTAACATTACACTGGGGTACTCGTGGGTCAAGCCGAGCAGTCAAAGCCACTAGAACCCAGGATGGCTGAGATGGGGAGTGAAAAGCCTCTTATACCCAGCACAACAACACAGGCTGTCAGCTCTCAGCACCAGGATGTCTCAAAAACCATGGCTAACAGCCTTCCAAGGAAACCAAGGCTATTTTGAGGAAAGCAGAATGCGCACATATTCACAATGCACAAAAAACCATTTTACCACCCAAAGACAAGGCAACTTTGTCTTGCCAGCAAGGTGCGATTCACAGTTAGTTGAGATCCGATTACCTTGGGGACACCATGTCATTCATGCCACGGCAAGCCAAAACTATCGCTCCTCTAACAGAGAAATCTGTATTCGCCCAGTCCTGCCGCAAAGGCAGGGCTACACCAGGCAACAGAAGAAAGGTTATAAGCATATCTTAAAAAACCCATTAGATCACTGACAAAGGTGGGGTGGGGACAATGAGGTCAGAAGCTGCTCAGCACGTCCTCAGACCGTAAGAGGAGAAGTCGGCAGCTACAGGAGAGCAGAGGAGTCTGCCAGCGTTTCTTGTGATTCATCAATGCAGTTTGTCCCCCAAACACCTGATAACATCCAGCACTGGGCAGCTCCTTCTCGTCCTGTGCGGGCTGGAGAACCCAGCCACCCTTGGAGAACCTTGCAAGGGCGGCGTCACTGTACAGCTCACAAGCTACACAATTTAAAGCACGTTGAAGACAACACTATAGGAATGCATCCAACCTGCAAGCGGTCTGCAGTGTCCTTCAGCTGACAGATGGGGTTTCCAAAGCCACCGCACCGTCAGCCCCTCCCTAGCACCACTAATGTCAGTGACACCTGGCGTACCTGCCTGCCCAGCGCTGCCCTGCACCGGGTCCTATTGCCCTCACTCCTGCAACAAGCCCTCTGCAGAGAACCTGTTACCATGACCATCGGCCTCTTTGCACGACAGTTCATAGCGGTGCCCATATATGCTCTCCCACAACAACAAGCCATGTGTCAGGCTCCAGCTCTACAAGCTGGTAGTGATCCCACAGTAGGAAACAACGAGCAGCGATGCTCTCCTGTGACTTGCTGGCAACCAGACCCCCCAGAGTCAGGCACACTTTTAGCCTCGGTGCCCGTATGCCCCATTCACAATGACCGCTCCCTTTTGGTAGGTCCTACAGATGTGTTCAATGAAGGGACAACCCCAGCTCCAAAGAGTTTCCCAGGGATTGCAGTGGGGTCCTCAAACTGGAGCTGCTGCATTTAATTTCTGGCCACTGGAGGTTGTTTCTTAACTCTCTGGTTACTTGATTTGAGTGTAAAATGAGGGTTAATGCCTCCATTGAGGGCTGGGGGGGGTGAGGGAGTGGCAAGGTGTGATGAGCTTGTGTGGTTTGCGGATTTGGGACAAAAGCATCAAAACATGCTTACAGGACTAAAACAATTTCCTCACAAGGGAGAAGGGTGATTTCTGGACCCAGATTAAGCACATGCCCACAAGAAAATCTCTCACATCCTATAACTTTCCCCTTTGTCCCTTGCCATGCCTTCTGGGCAAGCCAATGCCACTTATCATTTTCAGCCCTACAGCCACTCCCTGACCCAGACGCTTCGTATGCAGAGATGGCAGGGTCATTTGGTCAAGCCTCCCCGAAGACATCTGCTCCAGAACTAGCTACCTACAACACCCCAAACGCCTGCAGCCCAGGGTCGTGCCTGTAAACAGCCGAGCAGCACCACATGCGGCATCACCCCTGCACTATGGTCCATGTATCCCCTCTCAACACAGCCAGCAAACTCATCACTGCCACCAGTTAGACACAAACTGGAGAGGCAGCAGGATCGTGCATGAGGCCCAACACCACATCTGGGGGTTGACATCTGCCTTCCATGGCGCCCAGCTGGCAAAGGACGCAGTGGCTTCTCAAAATCTCTGTGCAAGGTTGGAGGTGGTTTGTTGGCTGCACGTTGTGTTTCCTCCGCTCCTGGTTACTGCAGGGACCTCGGACACCGGTGGTCTCGCGCGCCCTCCTGCCTTCTGCACGTGGTGCACAGTTTAGCCTTTCCAGGGATGGAGGTGCCTTAGATGACAAAGTATTTGGAAGAAAACCCAAAGGCACATCGTGTGTGATATACATGTCTAAAACATCATCAAAGGCTGCCAGTCTGGGGAGAAGCCTGAAGAGTGCTGATGTTTTAAAAATACCCACAACAAAAAACCCACAAAACCCACAAAATCCCACCATGAGAGAGAGAAACAGCCACAGGTGCTATGCAGTGTCAAAGCCTATTTTAAAACAGCCTAACATTTTTGTCAGCTGCTCCAGAGTCTGACTTGAGATCCTGACTTCAAGTGCAAAGCGCCTGGGCCAGGCTCGGCTCACCGCACCGCCTGCCGGCACTTGTCCCGCCGTATCTGTGATATGAATGACTCTATCACAGTGGGATCTAAAGGAAAATGAATTACTCCATCATATTTCTTTTCCAGCTACTTTTGCACCCCCTTATAAAACCAAATTTCTCTTTGCAAAGCAGCCTGCTCGTGTCAGAGGAACAATATTCTGAGGATAGCTTGTTTGGGTTTTATTTGTCCCCCCCCCGCAATGTTTGGAGAGCATCTTTGGCCTCCCACGTAAATTCCAAGTTTCATTTATTAAATACCTCACTGGCATTTTCTTTTCGCTTTCACACTACTCATTTAATATTACATTTGACATTCTAAGCTTTACGGATGGCAACAGAAGCAGAATGGGTGGGCTAAAAATAGCCTGCCAGGGAGACGGGAGGCTAGAAATAGGCTCATGAACAACAGTAGCTCCACTACCCTTTGCTTGCCCCCGCGTTTTGGGAAATGACAGCATTCAGGAGATGAGAAAGAGCGAGCTCAGGGTGAGTCGGTGCCCGCGGAGCCACGGATGCCCCAGCCGAGCAGCCCGAGGATGGGGATGGGGACGGGGATGAGGGGTGCCCGTCCCAGCTCACCAAGCGGCTGCAAACCCCATCGCCTCGAGCTGGGGCTGTGAGAACCCGTCCCCTTTGCAGCTCAACGCTAGAGGGGGACATGTTAAAAACGAAGCAGGAGTGGTCAGTCTCTGAGGGTGCTGCGGGAAGTATGTCTGCGCCTAACTCTGACCGCCAGCCAGCTGTGTGTCACCTCCGGCCATCTGCACCAGCTCACTGTCACACATGCGTGCACAAGCTCTCCTGCCCCTGCATGGGTTTGGTAATTAATCTGCAGACACATCAGCAATACGATGAGTCAGTCCCAAAACAGGATCATGTCTCATCTCCTCCCTCGTGGGCTGCTTTTAAAATTAGTGCTGTAGAAGAAGTGACAAGAAGAGAATGCTCAAAGCATCGTGGCACCTGGATCGTGCACCAAGCAGGCACAGAGAGCTGGGAAGAATATCTTTTAAGTATCCGCAACAACAAAACACCAACAGCCTACACTGTTTCTTTTGCTCTTTGTGATGTTCCTCGAGTGTTTTCGCCCTGTCCCATCCTCCACGTTCCCTGCATTGCTGTTACCTTCCCATGCAGCCTTTCATCTGGGAAGAAATCCTCCCAACAACTCTCCCACCACTCGTCCCGTAGCAGGGGTCTGCAAACAGCTGGGTAAGATTTTTACAGCGCAGGAGTGCCGATCCCGCCAGGAAGCATCAAATAGCAGCTCTGCCCCGCTGCTGGCGCCGGTTTTGCTGGGACACCCCACCACCCTGCTGCTCCTTCCAGCTGACATCAGCACCTCACCAGGGCAATACTGGGCAGCGCTGATCTGCATCAGGTGAAGGCTGAGCCTTGCTCCAGAGAAAAACCTTTTTTGTGAAATAACTAAACCTACGGAGTATGACTTGACACGCACCCACCCGCGATTAAGCGGTAGGAAAATCCTGGAGTGTGGCACTGTAGCTCTTCCCTCCCAACTGACAAGTCTTAACTAAATTTACATTCCAAGTGTTTCTAATTTGTTGCCGGGTCTGTCGTCTGGATGCTGGGGGGGCATGGTTGGGGTTCGTTCTTTTTGTTTTATTTTAAGGCAGATTAATCAGCATTTAGTAACTATACAGGGGAATGAGCCTCCCCCACAACCCACAAGTGTCTCGGGCGAGGTATCGCTGGTGGCAGGCAGGAAACCCCAGGAGCAGGAGGCGGCTGGGGAAGCAGTGAGACGCTTGGACAGGCCAGAGGCAGAGCCCGGGGCACCCATCTGAGATGGAGCGAGAGGCTTCCCGCTGGGCAAGGGGAACTGCCCCGGCCCTGCCCTGCCATCCCACCACTCAGTTTGCCAAGGGGACCCTTACTTTTATTTCAGATGCATATTGCAGTGAGGAACAATATGAAGAATATTATTTCAGTGCCCTGGGAAAAATTAGCAAGTCAAATATTGAATCAGGCCTCCAGCATATGCCAAGGAGATTGCTTTGATCTTATCCACACTAAAAGCTCTATTATTGAATTTAAAGTCTGTGAACACGTATCAGACCAATATACAATGCATATCTGAATACACATTTGAGAAGCAAAGGATATTTTGACAAAGGGAAAAGAATATTTTAGCTGAAAATATCAAAGTTACTGCACCAGTTCAAATACAAATGCCCTTTTTCATCTGGCTCAGTGGCTTTACTGACAGGGCAACCCGCAACCTGGGACCTGACTGTCATTTAGGAGAAACTTCACCCAGGTCTGGCTCCTGGGTCGGGACTGGGTGGAAAGTGATTGTGGCTCGATGGCAGAGAGCCATGACTTCCCAGGGCACATGGTCCAGCAGGCAGCAGCAACATCAGAGCAGCATCAGGACTCGGGAGCTTGACCAGAACAACTATTTTGGGAGCAGATGGTCTGCAACAGCTACCCCAGTCCACTTCCCTCCTGAAAACCCCTAACACAGCTGTTCAGCGGCTGCCACGGCTCTTCCCAAGAGCAGGCGGGGAGAAGGGCGGCTTCTCCAAGGCTGGTCAAGAAGCTGAGCAGGTTGATTCACACCATCTTCAGCCCTTTGGCTTCCCACACCAAAACCTGCTCTGGGGTGGCTGCCTGAGCCCGCAGACAATGCCTGTGCTCGTGGGGGGACAGACACCCGTCCTGCTGGCGGGGGGACAGGAGTAGCGCCCAAGCAAGCCATGGTCAAGGCTCAGCAGCCTGTCCCCATGACACCTCCACCAGGCACGGTGTGCCCACCACCCAATTAATCTCATGGAGAAGGTTGTCCCAAAGAGCCACCACCCAGGCACGGCACGTGTCTGTGACAAAGGGCAAGAGATTGCTGCCACCGACACGCGCTGCGGAACAAAAACAACTTACCATTTTATTATTGATTTCGTGGAAATGAATTTCACAGACTTTTTCCACCACGTCTTCATTTTCGAAAGTTACGAAGCCAAATCCTGTTTAATAAAGAAATAAAAAGGGGAGGGGGAAAGGAAAATATTAGTTAAGTTAAATGGACTTCATTTTAATAAAGCATTACTTAGCCATTGGGACTTTGGAAAACTTTCATAAAAATATGCACGTGTAAATACACCTGCTGTCTATGGAGCTGTTGCTGAACTTATTATAGACTAATGGAGGGAAGAAGCATTGTCTCGGGGAAAATTAATACGGTTCTGTTCCAGCTCTTCCATAAGATTTAATGGAGAATTAAAACCTCCTTATGGATTTTTTGATCCATCCTGCAGAATTTAATGGATAGTTACACCCCGGTTACACGACGGCTCAGAAACTACAATAAGGCCGCATTTTCTTTTACACCTTATAGGTTTTTAAGAGCAATCTCTACAAAACCCAATTATATTTCTATGGAACCATATTGATTTTATCTCTTGTTTAATTCCACGGGACTTCTCCATTAGAGCTGACTTATTACGTGACCCAAAAAAATAAAAATCCGGGAAGACAGAAGATGATTCCTCATTTACCCCTTGCTACCCTTGGCGAGGAAAAAAATACCAATGCTTCCCCAAACATGCAGCAGCACTTCGTGTTTCCATTTGCTTTGAGCAAACACCAAATGTCCCCGCTGCTGCGTGCTGGGGCCAGTGGCGCAGCCACCGCAGCTCCATCCCGTGCGGATGCAGCCAGCCCCGCGGGTCAGCTGGGCTCCGGAGGTGGTTATTTGTCCCTTTCTTCCTGAATTACTTCCTCTAATACCTCATCAGGACATCCTGAGGCCTCCAAGGAACCATTACGTTTAAGGCCTCTGATCTAATCATTTCTCTCTTCGCCACTGCTGCTTCAAAGGAGCCGTGGATTTGGGCTGGTTTAGGGTCGTTTGATGCCTGCTGCCCGCCCATAGCTGCACACTGTATTTGCTCTGCTGGGGCCACACGGCTGCAGACACGCCACACTAAAGAAATCTGGCAGCCCACCACAGCTATACACAGTCACGTTCCCTGCTCATTCCTTAAAAAAAAGAAAGAAGAATCAAGCTAACAAACAAAAAACAATCTAATGTGCTAAATTTCTGGCAAAGGCTTGATGAGTCAACATCGACACCAATTAAGCTAATGAAATCTTAAAAATGTAACAACAGGATGAACTTCATCCTCCAGACTGCACTGAAAACTCTGCTGGACTCAAGGCTGGTGAAACAGCACGTGACGTCTTCGTCGCACCAGGCTGTGAGCCAAACGAGCCGGAGCTGGGGCACCCCCAGCAGCAGCCTTTGCCCCTGGCTGGGGGGACGGGGGAGGGAAGAGGGAGGGGAAACCAACGCTGCCCGGCGTTATTTTCCGTGAATAGTTTTGCCCAGTGAGCATCCCTCCGTCCAGCCACGCACGGCAGCAAAGCAGTTTTGTCTTTGCTGACTCTGAAGGAGCCGGTTCCCATCTGCCACCGGCCGCGTGTCCGTCCATCCTGCGCTGCCCATCCCAACGCCCCATCTGTTTGGGAATACAGCAGTGAAGCCTCATCTCAAACCCATTTTGCTACTGACACTTCCCATCTGCAATTAGCACCTTCCAGTACCGGGCCTGCTCCCCTCCAGCAGCGGTGAGTGCCATGGTCGTGTCCTGACGGTCCCAAGCGCCACCCCCAACCTGCTCCCTCTGCCAGACCCCCAGGCGCCCAGCAGCAGGCAGTTTCTGCGCTGGGGTCCCGAAGCAATACTTCATCATTTTAAACACACACTAGATTTCCTTTGATGGGGCACAGCAGAAGATACTTTTAAACACCACTAGATTTCCTTTGATGGGGCACAGCAGAAGATACTAAAACTATACTGGTTTCTACAGGAACAAGATACATTTTGCAGGCTACAATATTTGAAGCTGTAAAGTGTAAAGGGCGGCTCCCGCACTGGCCGAGGCGAGGTCCGAGCAGCTCCCAGCCGGCTTGTTTGGGAATGCACAGTACATGTAGCAATGGTCCATCCCTCTTTGGACCCTCTTCTTGGGGGAAAAAACACCAGAAATGGTTTCTAGATCTCCTCCAAGGTATAAAACATCATCCAACAGCACATCACACTCAAACCCAGCGCTCAGAACACTATTTTACTTTGCACTTAAAGCATGTAGCAGCTTGAAGTATTTTACTTAACTCAAGTCTTTCATTTGCCTTCTAAATTACTCCATTTAAATCTACCTTAAACAGACCCGTAGTTAAAACTAAAATTTTTGTGGTTAACTGGCTGAATACGGCATCCCAGGAATCCCGGAGCACGCTGCGTTGGGCAATTACCGGAGCTGGGAGCAGCGCGCCGCCGGGGACCAGCTTTGCCCAGCGCAATGAGATGGCCAGTCCGGGTCTACAAGTCATTAATTGTTTGAACATCAGCAACATCTTCATCATTAGTAACTCATTAGCGAGTACTGCAGTTGAGGATTTCTCTTGCAACTTTTGTCAGGTCTCACTGCCAGGATGGAGGAGAGAGAGGGAATTTAGAGGAGATTAGCCTTAATATGCACAACACCGCAAGAAAGCCCACTGCAGTCATTACACATTTGGACTCGGAAACAAGTTTCCCATTCTCATCCCACTCCACATGGCTTAAACACAGGTTTATCAAGAAATTATTTGTCCGATCAAATCAGATAGCTACCCAGCTTTCAGCATTTGCAGATTTTATAACAAGAATAAAATAACAATCCATAGGTGTCAACACTCATTTGCAGATCTTTAAAAGATCTATGCCACTTTGCACAGGCCAGTCTAGCTGGCTTGGCAAGAAAAAACAGACGTGATTGGGTCTGTAAGAAAACCCAACACCATCTTTTATTCCTTCCTCTCTGGAGCCGGCAGACGGGCAGGGCAGGCAGCTCCAGCGGGCAAGGGGCTCATGGGCTCAGGCCCAGAGCCCACGCAGGGCACTCAACCCGTAGCTGAAGGCTCACGATGTTTTACCTTTACGATTACCGACACCTTTAACTGATTGGGAAGCAACCAGAGGATTTTAATCCGCATGCATACAGGCACTTAAAATCCACAGGATGCTATTCAAGAGATGCTATCGCTCCTTAAATGAACAATCCCCAAGAGATCATATGCCCCAGAATTAAAAACTTTGTAAGAGTGACGGGTAATGGGTTCTTTTTTTGTTTCACTTTCTGAATATCAGATTCCAACTTTTAATAATTGCACACACACAAAAATATTACTGCACGCACGCCTTATTAGTTAGCATAATGAATACATGCTCATTTTTATATTACCAAAACTCTCAGAAACCTTCCCGGACTAAATAGGACAATCACTATACTGGTTGGCAACCTACAGGAACAAGATACATTTTGCAGGCTACAATATTTGAAGCTGTAAAGTGCATTTGGCGGCTCCCGCACTGGCCGAGGCGAGGTCCGAGCAGCTCCCAGCCGGCTTGTTTGGGAATGCACAGTACACGTAGCAATGGTCCATCCCTCTTTGGACCCTCTTCTTGGGGGAAAAAACACCAGAAATGGTTTCTAGATCTCCTCCAAGGTATAAAACATCATCCAACAGCACATCACACTCAAACCCAGCGCTCAGAACACTATTTTACTTTGCACTTAAAGCATGTAGCAGCTTGAAGTATTTTACTTAACTCAAGTCTTTCATTTGCCTTCTAAATTACTCCATTTAAATCTACCTTAAACAGACCCGTAGTTAAAACTAAAATTTTTGTGGTTAACTGGCTGAATACGGCATCCCAGGAATCCCGGAGCACGCTGCGTTGGGCAATTACCGGAGCTGGGAGCAGCGCGCCGCCGGGGACCAGCTTTGCCCAGCGCAATGAGATGGCCAGTCCGGGTCTACAAGTCATTAATTGTTTGAACATCAGCAACATCTTCATCATTAGTAACTCATTAGCGAGTACTGCAGTTGAGGATTTCTCTTGCAACTTTTGTCAGGTCTCACTGCCAGGATGGAGGAGAGAGAGGGAATTTAGAGGAGATTAGCCTTAATATGCACAACACCGCAAGAAAGCCCACTGCAGTCATTACACATTTGGACTCGGAAACAAGTTTCCCATTCTCATCCCACTCCACATGGCTTAAACACAGGTTTATCAAGAAATTATTTGTCCGATTAAATCAGATAGCTACCCAGCTTTCAGCATTTGCAGATTTTATAACAAGAATAAAATAACAATCCATAGGTGTCAACACTCATTTGCAGATCTTTAAAAGATCTATGCCACTTTGCACAGGCCAGTCTAGCTGGCTTGGCAAGAAAAAACAGACGTGATTGGGTCTGTAAGAAAACCCAACACCATCTTTTATTCCTTCCTCTCTGGAGCCGGCAGACGGGCAGGGCAGGCAGCTCCAGCGGGCAAGGGGCTCATGGGCTCAGGCCCAGAGCCCACGCAGGGCACTCAACCCGTAGCTGAAGGCTCACGATGTTTTACCTTTACGATTACCGACACCTTTAACTGATTGGGAAGCAACCAGAGGATTTTAATCCGCATGCATACAGGCACTTAAAATCCACAGGATGCTATTCAAGAGATGCTATCGCTCCTTAAATGAACAATCCCCAAGAGATCATATGCCCCAGAATTAAAAACTTTGTAAGAGTGACGGGTAATGGGTTCTTTTTTTGTTTCACTTTCTGAATATCAGATTCCAACTTTTAATAATTGCACACACACAAAAATATTACTGCACGCACGCCTTATTAGTTAGCATAATGAATACATGCTCATTTTTATATTACCAAAACTCTCAGAAACCTTCCCGGACTAAATAGGACAATCATTTCTTCTGAGAGGTACTAAGAGTCAACAAAAAAATGGTTCTTGGAAAGTGCATGAAAAAGATTAACACAAAACAAAGGCGGCTGTTTAAAATGGTGACATAAATAGGATTCCGGTTGTCAAGGAGCACACATTTTAAAATGAAATTATACCGCATCCTTCTGAATGAAGCTATTATTGGAAGCTAACAAGCTCTATTTAAGAGATAAGCATTTAACA